ATTTTACAGGCGGCGGGCTACTGATGGTCCACGACAACCATATCCTCTTGTCGCACCTCCGTCTCAGTCATATGGTTTGGTCCATTAACCCTCCACCACCGACCCCTTCTCAAATGAATTAGAATTTTGGAAGAAATCAATAGTAACCACAATGGGCCTCTTTAGTAGCTCACCTATAGCAACTATCAAATGAACTCCTTGGGCCGACTCCACAATAGTGAAATCAGCAACCTCATGCCTACATGAATGTGCCCTCATCTGTTGGACATCCTAATGGTGGCTCCATCTTACCTCCTTGGAATTGGTTCCCTTCGTATCAACCTACTGCTCTTCTGCAATTTTTTTTTGTAGCATGTCTCTTCAAGATGCACAACTATGATAGTGGATTATGGACACCAGCACCACTAATCACGTTCACGCCAATACAGGTATCCTCGATTCCATGTAACATGGACCAGGCACAGAAAATTCCCCATTTCAAATTCCCATTATCATCTTTATTTACATAATGTTCTCATCTCACCCTCAGTTATTAAAAATCTCATTTCAGTTTGTCAATTTACTCACTAAATTAAATGTTTAATTGAATTTGATGAATATGGTTTTACGGTCAAGGATTATAGGACCTGTCAACCTCTAATACGATGTGATAGTGACGACCCTCGTTACATAGTTCTTCCATCCCTACCTCAAGCCCATGTCTCCTCCATTTCAACTATTTGGCACCGGCGTCTCGATCACCTCGAAAATAAAGTTTTTGATTCTTTAATATCAATAAATTGAACTTCTTGTAATAAAAATCAATTGCATGAACTATGTCAAGCTTGTCAACTTGGCAAACATATTAAATTTCCATTAGCCACTTCTGATTCAATTGTGGCAAATGATTTTGATATTATGCACTCTAATCTTTAGAACTCTCCTTTTTCTAATGTTGGTGGTTTACGATATTATGTTATTTTCTAGATCATCACACGCACATACACAAAAACACATAAACACACACGCGCGCACACACACACACACTGTCTTTAGGCTTATCTAGTAAAACAAAAATCTGATGTCTTCGCAATATATCTTGAATTCACTAAAATTACTCAAACTCAATTCAGTAAAACCATCAAAATTGGACAATGTGACAATAGGAGGGAATACAATAACAAATAGTTTCATGACCACTTTCCCACACAATGAACCCAATTTCGTTTTTCATGCCCACACACATTGCAAAAAAAAAGAAAAAAAGAAAAAAAAAACTATAAATCTGAAAGAATGATACGTACCATAAAAAACATCCTCCATACCCTTTTGCTTCAAGCTCACATGCCCCCTACCTATTGGGATGAAGACTTATACATGGCCATCCACCTACTAAACCTCATTCGCTCTACATCCATAAAATTAAAACACCCCACTATCGCCTCCACAAAGCTCATCCTACCTACATTCACTTACAAGTATTCGATTGTCTATATTTCCCATATATTTTCACACCTCATAAATTATCTACTCACACCACACCATGCATTTTTTATCACACATGGTCATGTCATTTTTGACAAATACTCATTCCCTTTTCGATCTGTTACACCCAATGAACCACCTTTATATTCATTTCTTGATAACATAGAGGTCATTTGCCTAATAATTTTCTCCCGCCTTCATTCAAAAATTTCACCCACTCAACAACATACAACCTTTACCGAGACATCCTTATACCCAACCTTAACCTCACTCTCTGAATCGGACCCATCATCAACTAAATAATCTCCTTCTCTCTCGGACCCCTCTTACATACCCACCCGTTCTGCTACGGTCCCTGTCATACCATCCTCAATTGCACCCACACACCTCATGACCAGTCAGACATGCAATGGAATTTTCAAACTTGTCAATCGTCTCAACCGCCATGTCTCTTCTGATTCTCCTGTCCCCCGATCACATTACATGAATGACGTTACGCTATGCATGACGATTATAATGCAGTAATATCGAATGCCACTTGGAAATTTGTACGACGTTCTCATGTGGTCAACATTGTTAGATCTATATGGCTTTTTCGCCACAAATTTCATGATGATTGATCTTTGTATCGCTATAAGGCTCGCCTTTTAGCTAATGGTGGCAACAATTGTAGGAAATTGATTGTGACGCGACTTTTAGCTTAGTTGTTAAACCGACCATTATACATACTGTTTTTGGCATCACTATATCCAGAAAGTGGCTTATCCACCAACTTGATGTGAGGAATGATTTTCTCCACGACTACCTTCATGAGACTGTTTAGATGCATCAGCCACCAGGTTTTCGTGATCATAACTTCGCAGATCATGTTTTTTCTTTAGAGTTCCCTTTTTGGCCTAAAACAAGCCCCACGATCTTGGTATCATCGGTTTGCTCAAGATGCTATCACCACTGGATTTTAATAGAATCACACTAACTCATCTTTATTCATTCTCTAGTTAGGTGACACCACGACTTATCTTCTCTCATATGTTGATGTCATCATTCTCACAACTTCCACTACCGGTTTCGTACAACACATCATAGCTCGACTTAGTTATGAGTTTTCCATGACCGATTTAGGTGCTCTAATTTATCTTTTGGGATTCTCTGTTGTTCGATCAGACACTGTATTGTTTTTATCTCAAAAAAAAAATATGCGACATACATTATTCGGCGAGCTAATATGCTTAATATCAATCCATGTCGTACTCCAGCTAAGCTAGTCTATGAAATAGATGTTTTAGGTGCACCAGTTGTCAACCCGACTCTATATCGCAGCCTTGTAGGAGTTCTTCAGTACTTGAGCTTCACCGACTAGATATATCCTTCATAGTATAACAAATTTGTCTTTTTATGTAGGGAAAATGACTTAAAAGCCCAATGAAGTTTTCAAACCATTAAAAAAACCCCAATCATGTTTTATCTGTTCAAGAAAACCCAACGAACTTAACCTTTTGTCTAAAAAGTCCAACAAAGTTTCAAACCGTTCAGAAAATTTCAATTTTGTTTTGTTTAAGTTCGTTGGGTTTTTTTTGAACAGTCAAAACATGATTGGAGTTTTTTAAACGTTTTGGAAACTTCGTTGGTCTAACAAGTCATTTTTCCGATACGGTAATAAGTCACGTCATCTGTTTCTCTTATTTGACTTTCGAGAAAGTGTAACTTAGTTGGGCTTTTTAGATAAAATGTTAAGTTTGTTGGGTTTTTTTGAACAGACAAAACATGATTGGGGTTTTTTAAACGGTTTGAAAACTTTGTTGGGCTTTTAAGTCATTTTCCCTTTTATGTATGACACCCAATATCAACACCTGAATGCTCTCAAAAGGATTATCAAAGATATTCGTGGTACCATTGACCATCTTCTTCAAATATATGTCTCCAAAACAACATCCGACACCACTTATTGTGATGATGACTGGGGTGGTTATCTGAACACACGACAATCTACATTTGGATATTGTGTCTTCATGGGAGATAACTTCATTTCATGTTAATCAAAACAACATGGTGTCATCTCACGATCCAGTGCAGAGGCTGAATATCGTGTTGTTGCCAATGCAGTCGTTGAAACTTGCTGGCTCCGTGACCCTCTTCTTGAACTACATTTTCCTCTTCAAAATTAAAGTCGTTGTTGTTTATTGTGACACTATCAACGCCGTATACATGTCCTCAAATCTGGTGCAACATCAACACACAAAACACATAAAGATTGATCTTAATTTTGTTCGAGACAAAGTTGCCATGAGCCACATACGAATTCTCCATATTCCCTCAACTTATCAGAATGTTGACATCTTCACCATGGGTCTAGCTACTTCACTATTCTCATAATTTTGAACTAGTTTGAACATCTGACATAATCATCCCGATCAATATATTGTATTATTAGCTTGGCCCACCTAGTGTATATTCCTGGCCCATGTATTGTTGTAATTGTGTGTGTGTGTGTGTGTGTATATATATATATATATATATATATTGTATACCTCGTTTGAAGGAAATGAGAATATTTTCCCATTATTGCTTAATATCGATTATGTAAATATTTAGGCGTAAGTAAATTCATGTTATCATGTATATTTGTATATATTTTGTAACTCGCTAATGAGCCGAGAGAGGGGAGTTAAGCTTTTAAATGTCCTCCTTAATAAATGAAGGTTTTTTGCCACTTGTCAATCTCTCATGGGTTTTGACACTTGTAATTTTGTGGTAATTTTGAAATAAATATTATCCACTTCTCAATATTTTGTTTGTTTTAATTTTTAATTAAAATCATATATTTATATATGTAAAATATTAGATATCATATATATTATATTAAAGTATAATAAATACGTTTCTTTCTTTCTTATTTTAATGTTATACTTTAAAAAGTATTTCATTTTTATACTTTAAGTTTAATCATTTTTTTTAATTAACCCGTATAATATATATACGGGTCTCACACCCAGTTTACCCTAATAAATAAGAATGATTTTGTCATATGTTATCTTCTACTTCATTTTGATATTTGTCATTTTCTAATGTTTTTTTAATTATTTAATATCTACTTATCATTTTTATAGTTTTTTTTTATTCAAATATCACCTATTAAATGCCACCTCATATTAATTAAATTTATAAATATATTAATTAATGTACATAATAACTTTCTATTTTTGAATTCCTTTTTCTATTAATATATTAATTAACATATAAGTACATTAATGTAGATAGTACATTTTATTTGTGAATTAATATTAATTAATTTTATTAGTATAAATTAATTATGACCAAATTACATAAATAGTCCATGCGGTTTACCAAAAGGTCACAAACTCAATCATTACTAATTTTTTTTATGAACAAGATCTTTGTGGTTACCAAATTTATTTTTAATAAACCCGTGTAATACACGGGTTTCACAGCTAGTAAAGTAATATATATAGCTATGTTATCATTAGAATATGTTAAAATACATGGATTTTAACCCCAACATCGGGGGTGGCTACAATCTAATAACAACTAATAGGTGGGGTGGTATCAATAAATTTTCCTTGAGTGTTTTGGCAGTAAGAAATTTCATCATGTCCCAAGATTCCAACTTCGTTTGTTACAATTTCAGTACAGTTGTACTTTCCACTGCAATTGAAAGTAATAGCTTGCTTTGTTGCTGATGACCCATAGATATTCGTATACATAACATCGCTCACTTTTGCAGCTGACGCATTTGGCTGATAGATAAAAAAAATCAATAAATGTTATATGGAATTACATCTTTGGTAAGATGAGATTATTTTCACGGTGAACAACCATACCAGTGCTGGGCAAAAGGCATCTTCCGGATTACTACAGTAATGTTGATCAATTATAATTGGATTTTCAACATTTACCAGATGAATGTCCTGAAATACAATCCGCCTAGCATACCCCGTTCCATACTATATTATAAGATACAAGAAATTGATTGATTTCAAGTAACCATTGAATACTATTTGTTAAAAACTCCAAAGATTTTCATCAAGTTATATCTAATTTTACCGGCACTGTTTTAATTCGTAACCCATTTGTTGTTCCTGAGATGTTACAATTTTCCACACGAACTTGTTCAACTGTATCATAACCACCGTTTTCCTCAAGGCTTACGATACTACAAAATCACATCCATTTAGTGGAGGAAAATTTGTGTAAAATCGATTATTGAGATACAAATATCATTTAATTTTCTAGTACCTGATGCCATGACCAGGTCCGCAGAACACTCCTGTTACATTAATATCATGCGTGCCACCATTAATAGCAACACAATCATCACCTGTTTTAGTTTCCACAAAAGAACTGAATTATAAACGTTTTTTTATACATTATAGAATAACTCATTAGGAAACAAGGATGCTATTATTCTCATACCAGTTTGAATGTTAGAATCATGGATATTAACATGGGAAGAATCACCGATGTCTATCCCATCAGTATTGGGGCTGTCTCCAGGAGCTAATATTTGAATATTTCCAACATCTACGCCTTCACAACCATTGATACTTATATGTAGCATCGGGCTGTTGATATGTTTTGTACCTCTCAACTGAAGGCCGTTACAAGAATTAAAATGTAAAGCCTAAACAAATGTACATGTCAGTTTTCACGAAACTTAAATTCATGCAAGTCCTTAACATTGTAAAAAGAAGACGGCTTACAGTTGGGCGATTGCATGTACTGGTTTTAGGTTGCCCCTGCAAATTAAAAGGAACTATGAATTAGAAGTTTTTCATGTGGAATTAATTTAAATTTGAGATTATGAAATTTGACCTCCTTTCTCCACCAAATGGATCCCTGGCCATCAATTTGACCAGGTCCTTGGATCTTGAGTCCTTGCACGGATGTGAAATGTATCCAAATGTTATTCTTAATGCAATCTTTCCATCTGTCCAGAGTCTTCGGTGCAGTGATGTTACCCAACAGCTACCCATCATATAAAAAAGTAGTATTAGATTAATCATAACAATTTTATAACAAAATAACATTTAATCACCACTTTATGAATTAACATCATAGCCTCAAAGGATAGATAACTGTTCATTTTACCTTTATATTTACATTTGGGGATTTGCATGGACCACTGAATGCCACCGGGCTTATCAAAAATGTCTTGTCTGATGGAATTATCAATGTCGGTTCTGGCGACACATCTCCACATAAATCATCCCATGCTCGAAGGAAAGCCTGCGAGAATGAACGTACATAGAAAAAGGATAACTGATTTTTCTTTCTTTAATTTGCATGATATATCATTCTATTTTGAGTCAAAATTTGAAGATATTATTTACACTGGAGTCATCAGTATTTCCATCTCCTTTTGCTCCATAAGATGTTACATCGTAGGTGGCAACACTTGTGATTTGTGAGCCAAATGATAAACAAGACAAGCTCAACAGGACTACCATCAAGAAACCCTGCAGATCGAGAAAAGGTGGAATACTTAAGACTAGTAATGCATTTTTAAGCATCCATGCATGGAAAATCTGAGTGAGAATATGTTATTCATCTTACCATTTCTTTGAAATCAATTGAAGCAGGTAACTCTGATATTGTGTTTTGATTACACTTGCATTGCCCCCTCCATTCATTTCCTATAAATACTGTGAGAAAATGTTGCATTAGCTAGATCATCTGTATGAAAATTTAGATTCTCTCATTTAAAATAAATGCATGGATCGAGTTAGTTATCATTTATATGTACACTTGGTGTGAAACTCATGTATTACATGGGTTTAATTAAAAAAAATATTAAATTTTAACAATTTGAAAAGATTGAATTTATAAGAAAAATGAAAAAAAAAATGAATTATTAAAATTATTGAAACTTTAATATGTTGAATACATTACATATATAAACTTTATTATTGTGGGTTTGACCCACTCAATTATTGTGGGTTCCCAAAAAAATATGAGAAGTAAATTATTAAAGCATTTCCGAAGAAATGTACTTTTTTATTATATTAAAAACGTCGGGATGTCATTGTCAATACAATCATAAGCATAAACAAAAGTAGTACATGCTTTACAACATCTATTATTTTAATGGCCTATAATCCATAAATCTCTCATCAGATCATCACTCATGTGTTCTAATGCCACTACCAGTAATACAAGAAATTGAGTGGATCAAGCTTGGGAGTCTGATCAGCACATAAGGTTTTCAACACACAATAATTAAGTTTATTAATCTTGTCAAATCATTCAATATTGAGAGTATGGTGAGCACATAAGGTTTACATTTATAAATACCATTAATTCATGCAATATTATTATGTTTCATAGCTTTGGTATATATGTGACATAGATAAAAGGTATTTTTTAATTGAATATATTTAAGAGTGTATACGACTTAATTCCATAACTATACAGGTTTTTTTAACATGATATTAGAAATAATTACTTAATAATAAAAACTAACTTATAAGGTTTTAAAGGTGTCCAAATTTTGGTACCCAATATATTTTTGGATGTTATATTTTGTTTTTTTTTAACGACTAATATGTTTGGAACATATGGAAACTTCGATATCTAAAATTTTGGAGGAAGAAAAAAAAATTAATGGATTTTTTTTCAGTCGGTAAATTTATAATATGTTATTTATACAAACTAATCTCATATTACTTTCAAAATCTATAACACTAGCATTATTATGGATGACAAGTCAACGAAATTAAACCAATTTGTATTATACTCTAATCGAATAAAAAACTATAATTAACGTGCAGTGTTATCTGAATATCATAGAACATATTAAAATCTATATTTGATATTTAATAAATTGACTTTCTTTTTGAAAAATCTTCAAAATGGCCACTAACCATACAGCTTGTCAAATTGCAAGTTTCAAAATACCAATAATATGGCACCCATTACTCAAGTGTCTTTTACTAAACAGTAGGTGTGAAACCTATGTATTACATGAGTTTATTTTAAAAAAATTAAATATAAAATTTTAACAATTTGAAAAGTTTGAATTTATCAAAAAAAAAAAAAAAAGAAATATTTTGAATTATTAAAATTAATGAGACTTTAATGTATTGGATACATTACATAATATAAACCCTTTCTAATAAATACCTTACATATTTATTACCTTATATATTAAATGTGGAATTTTGATTTAATAAAATGAAAAATACAATAAAATGACAAGTGGAAAATAGAAAATTTAAAAATATTAGAAAATACCATGTGTCCAAATGAAGGATAAGAGGACATGTGGCAAAAAAAAAAAACATTCATTTATTATAGTAGATATATTTCTCATCAAGAGTATCTTTGATTATTTGTATCAAGAAATATAATTTTTTGCGTCTCCAAAAAACTGTTCGATTTTATATGAGATACGATTTCATAAAATTGTTTGACCATATATATATATATATATATATATATATATATATATATATATATATATATATATATATATATATATATATATATATATATATATATATATATATATATATAGGAGAGGGTTCAATTGAGAAAAAAAATTTTTGTTGAGAATGGGAGAATCATTCTCAGCCACTCATTTATTTTTGCTGCAAAAGTCTTCGTTGTACCAGCGGAAATGAGAAATGAATAGACATGTGTTTTCCAACAAAACATATTTCCTTAAACTATGCTAATCATTACCTTAATACATACAAAAACATAGTTTTTTTCGTTTCTTTGAATTTTTAGAATCTGTTTTTATCAAAAAATGATTTTAAATATACCAAAATTCATGATTTTTTATTCTCTACAAATAGACATCTACATTGATATAGTTTTAAGATAATATATATATATATATATATATATATATATATATATATATATATATATTCAGCTATCGTTAATCATAAGTGAATAAAAATTCATCAGGTTTTATACCGTACATTCGTTATTCACTTATGAATAAAAAGTATGATTTTTTTTATTTACAGCTTAAGTATCATTTATATATGAATATAGCATATAATAAACATAGTATATTCATATTTTAATATTGGACGATGCATTCACTTGTGAATATTAACATAGTATATTCACTTGTGAATATTATATGGTATATTCACTTATGAGTATTAAATAATATTTCATATGTGAATATTACATAGTATTACATGGTATATTACATCTGAATATTATATAGTATATTCACTTGTGAATATTATATGATATATTCACTTATGAATATTACACAATATATTCACATATGAATATTACAAGGTATATTTACTTGTGAATATATTCACTTATGAATATTTGAATGTATTTTGACAAATATATATAATTTTCATATGTTATTCACATATGTATAACATACAGACTTGCATATTTGTTTTGTGTGTTTAATAATCATATATTGATTCAGGTGAGAAAACATATTCATATGTGAATATAACGTGGCAATTTAGTTTATGCATTTCATCAAACAGTTGGAGTGCATACAAGTTAACTATTTTAAAAATGTTAAAAACATCAAGTTATCAATTCCAAATCATCATATATTTCTGATTTCGACTTCATATGCGACATCCTATGTCTGATAGATTTCTCATTTTGATTTTGATTTTCGAAAATCCGATTAGGAAACTATGAGTAGCGATTCTGAGTCCTTCAGTGTCGATTGTGACTGCGAGTCTAGAACTCCGATTCCAATTACATGAACAACGAAGAAATTTCGATTTAGTTGAAGAAATCTAGATGATTATTCAAGGTTGGAGGAAATTTTTTGATGATGAACGAATTGTTATCGATTTCTCTATAGTTATGTATTTGAGATTGAAACTTATTAACATATTTACAAGTTTGTCACCGTGTTATTTTATGGTTAGATTAAATGAGTGGCTGAGAATGATTCCCCAATTCTCAACCTTTTTTAATTTCTCAATTAAACCCACCTCTCTCTCTCTCTCTCTCTCTCTCTCTCTCTATATATATATATATATATATATATATATATATATATATATATATATATATATATATATATATATATATATATATATATATATATATATATATTGCTATATTGTTTGACTGTGATGGTGTGATTCGAATATGGTGTTCGACGTTATCATATACGAAATAAACAACCACCAATACTAGCTAGCTAAGATGCTTTTTTCTTTGACGTAATATTGCTTCTGTTACAAAAAGTTAGAATTCATATTAAATTCAGGTAATATGACGAATCAAGGTTATATTCTTTTACGTACATAAAATATGCAACCATATATCATAACTAACTAGATGATAACACGTGTAAAACATAAGAAACGTATAAGAAAAATACATATAACGGTATTAAAAGTTTATAGAACAATAAAACAAGATAAGTTCACAGACTTAATGTTATTGGTAATAATGAAATGTCTAAAAAAAACATTGAGATCCTTGAATATCTATAATCATTGAAGGATCTTTTTGTAATAAATATTTTTTGTTTTATTAGTTGGACGATCTTCTTGATCACATATGAGTACATTGAATATTTTTTTTACTTGTGATGCGAGAAACGACATATAACCGACCATGAGTGAAGATCGACATACGCAAATAGGATATCTAACATTTGATAATGACTATCCTTGACTTTTGTTAATGGCAAAGACTAATCAATGTTTCATCGTTATAGCATTATACTTTGACAAATATACCAAGTTAAATCAACATACTTCCTCTTTTTTAAATATAAAAAAAAATCCTACCATTGGTAACCATTCATGTAAATTGTTGTTTTGCCTCACGAAGTTAGGGTCCAATTATGTAATCTTTTTTGCCTAGGGACCAATTACGTAATCTTTTTCCACCACACGGACCAATTATGTAATCTTTTTTCTACACAACGACCATTTATGTAATGTTTTCATGCATTGCTATTATTGGTAAAGATCCATAAGTATGATGCTTTTATGGGTCAAACTAAGCTTCATTTTCATTTGGTATATAAGATGTCCATTTAAAAACAGTATAAACTCTTGAGTATAAACTATATAAAAAAAACATAAAAAACAAGCAAAAATCAATGATAATTATAATAAATTGCTATTTTGCAATTAGTTGTAAGTATATCCTATGTTCAGAAGAAGAGGTGCTTCGGGTATACTCTTTAATTGTTATAATATCCAAGCCAATACTATAATTATTGAGAAAAACAGCAAAACTTTAGCAACATATAGGACATGAAAAATGCAACTAAAATAGTAATTAAAACAAATCCAACCATTTAATTATTATAAATGTTGATTCTTTGAAAAAATAAATTTAAAAGAGTAATTAAAAATATCACAAGAGTGAACAACATTGTTGAATGGTTGTAATTATCAAACATAATAAACAATGCAGACAAAAACCACATAGAAAAATCGATGAATTCATCCACTTGTAGTAGGAACAACAAAAACCACAGTAAAAAAAATACAAAAACAATATATAATGATTGACATGTATATCAAAGACAACCCTTTTACTTCAAAAATCTAGAGATAATAACCCCATATACAATAACCATCTGACTAAAACTGTAACTGTAAAACTCTTCCAACAATAAACAAAGAAATTACCCTCTATTATTTAACGATGACAAATTCATCGAAATTTTCATAAATCTTGTCGCCTCTGTTACT